GGCCAAACACGCCGTCTCTGAGGGCACCAAAGCTGTCACCAAATATACTTCCAGCAAATAAGTGACCATCACTTGACACCAAACGGCCCTTTTTAGGGCCAACACATCCCTGACCTCAAGGATCAGATGAACAATATATTGCCTTTTTTACTAACTTATTATCATTTTTATTGCATTTTTAAATAAAATTTTCATGTTTTATATTTTTTTGTTTCAATAAAAACAACTATTTCTAGACATTAATCATTATTTTGAAGTTATTGTCATTAATAAAATGCATTTAATTTAAGTGGTGTTTCTATTTCTGGTGATATCACTTGAGTTGCCATCCATTGAATGGTTGAGTGTTTAGTATTGAATATATGGCTAACAATGCGGACAATGAAGTGAAGAGCGGGAAGTGCTGTCAGTCTTGACATTCAATTTTAGCGCCGTTTAAAGTGTCGTTATTTATGGATAAGTGGTTTGAAACACATTTCTTGGCATTTGTTTTGATTTTGAAATTTAATGTTTGACTCAATTTGAATCCAAAAGTGATGTCTTATTTATACCGTTTGGCGGTCAGTGTCTCGGATGTGATCAACGCTCACATCTTCGCATTCAATAGATGTAAGTCTTGTTATTGTATTACATAATGATATGAATTGATGTCAATTTGATTTTACAGTCAATTCATTGGTTTTATTGAATATTGAGAAGCAATTGAGTAAAAGAGACGACAATATCGGCAATGAATCGCTTATTGAAGACATTATGAGAAATGGCTTTGTTTTCGCCACTCAGAAGAAGAGGCGAACCGTTGAGCGAAGACTTGAGCGCCGCTTCGGTTTAGATAAATATCCGGACACTTCTCCCATCATAAGAGCCAAACAAAACCTGATTCCGTGCGACCGTTGCGGACAATACCATGAATTTCACACCATTTGCGCCAATTGTTACAAACGAGTGAAAGAAGAATCAAATCTGATTATCGAAGAAATGAAGAAACGATTGCATTATTCGGAACCAATCGAAGAAGAGGTTACCATTCGTTACAAGAATGACAGTAAAAGCGAGGCTGAGATGACTGGGAGACGAGTGGTCGAAATGGATCGCCAAAGACCCGAATGGTTTGCCGATAACCTGTTGTCTAAAAGTGTTGGCAATAAATGGATTGAAAGCAATCCTATTGTTAGAGAAGACGACCCAAAAATTATAACAAAAGATTAATTCATTTTATTTAATATCAGTTTTTGTTTACAATTCAAAGAATAAAATTTTTTGAATTAAATAAATGTTTTTTATATTAATATAATATTAAAATGCAATTATAATTAGATATCTGTTTAAAGGCCCCAATATTTTGAGATCTGTTAGAAGTAATTAATTGGATAACAATTTATATGACATGATATGCAGTGAATATAAGTTTACTTTTTTGTTGTTTAATATTTGTAGTCTCTCTTTAGGCACTTATTTACTTAATTCAGTCATAGATTAGTAAGAATTGCACCGAAAGTATCGATAATTAAATATAAATCAAATGAAAACTAAATATAAATTATTTCAAAACTTAGAGAAACAAACATTTCTATAGAAAAGGTATTTGTTATGAAAACTAATGTTTAAAATCATTCATAAGTTTTAATATCTATTAAATATTTGATTTGTTATTTTCGTTGTAATAATCGTCTGAATATATCGCAAAATTTGATGATAACATTAATATCCCTGGTATTCATCGGGAGGTCTGTTCCCGTATTTGGCTCTATGAATGGCGGCTAACTTTTCGCGCGCCTCCACGAGTTCCCTCTCCTTCTTAAGGATCTCTTCGCGGGCAACGATCTCCTGAGCGATTCCGGGCACTCGACGTTTGCTGATTATAATACTTTGTTCGTCTTCGTGTTCAATGGCCTGTTGTGCCGAACGAACCAAATTATCGGTCGCTTTCTTCACAGCATTTCCTGCGGTTTGCAGTCTTCGCATCGCTTGCGAGTCGGAGTCAGACTTCACTTTGCAGGCGACCAACAGTTGTGCTGTAGAACCGGCCACTTGTTTGGCCGCAGAAATCAACTTCTCTTCGGACGCCTGTCCCTGAACTAAAGCGTTGGCCGCTTCTACCAAACTATGAGTAGCGGCCGCCACGTGTCTGGCGGCGGATATGAGCCCATCGGACCACTGGCCGTCGTCCGACGCGTACTGCGGCTGTCCCTCCACTTTGCCCGTCAACACCAGCTCTCGTTGTGCGGCAGAGGCCGCTCTGACCAGTGCAGCCGTCGCCACAGTAATAGATTTGGCCGCTTCTAAAATCATTTCATCGAAATTCATCTCTTCGTGCGGTAACTGAAGATAATATTTTCAATTATAAGCTTTATTTGTTTTAATTGTAATTAAAAAAAGCACTGAATTATAGGAATAAAGTGGTTTTATATCAATAGATTCGAGTATATGTCTGATTCTCGGTTGATATCATCACCACAACCAAGAATATCAAACATATCTCGAAGATATGACACAATCAGATGAATTATAATTTGAAGTCAAGCGTAGAGAAGAGAAGCAATGGATAAAAAGGATGACTCACTCGAATGCTAGTCCTTCTGGGCTGAAGAGATGCCAACTTCTTGGCCGCCGCGTCGATAGAAGAGGCGGCGCCTAACAGTTCATTCTCAGCGATGACAGTGGGGTCGTCGGGATCGACCCAATCGGAGCCCTTTAGGAGTTCAGCACTACTGACAATCTCTGTGACTGCTGTGGCAATGGTTCGTGACTTAATAACTAATTGATTCTTTGCATCGCTTCCAGGTGTCGGTCGACTTATGATTTGGTGAACCATTTGTAAGAGTTCTCTGTAATGATAGGCACAACTCCTTCCCGACTCTAACACTCGAGTTCTCAATTCATGGGTTTCTGCAGAAGTGGCCGAAGCTTTGGTTGTAATCAATAAATCGTAAATTGCTTTTCGTCCCATATTTGCGGCAACGATCACATCGTCCTGTTTGCCACTCGTGCCGGCGGCCACCGCTTTGGCCGTCGCTAATGTCACCGGTTTTGTCACTCGAACCAAGTCTTCGGGCGATGCCTTTCGAACGGTTGGCATTTCTCCGGAATCGAAGGCTCGAATTTCTTGACCGATCGCTTCGATAGTCGATTCAAGAGCTCGAGTGCCTCTTTGGTGCTCGTCTTCAACAGTCTTAACTGTTTTAAGAAGTGAAGTGACATTCGTTACCATTACCTATGAATTCAACATTTTAACCATAAGTCACATGTGAGACAAAAACGTCAAAATATAGACATACTTTTGCGGATTCCTTTAAGTACATCATTGCCGGATCATTGATGCTCTTTCCCGACGCAGTCTTTGTCGACCCAATCAGCTCTCCCAGAGCTGTGGCCACATCTTTAACCGCATTCAACAGCAAAACCTGTGCCTCAGAGTTGTTTGAGCCCAAGGATGCGGCGCCCAATTTGACCACTTCTGACAATTGCATAATAGTTGTGACGGCGTTTTGTGCGGCGACTGCCAACTGCTCCTGACTGGAGGCCGCGCCGGCCACTAATGTTTTCGTGTCCTCCACCAGTGCTTTAGCCGTCTTAAGTATAGCCTCCCTGTGATCGGCGAACGTCTCGTTTTCATTCTCCGAGTTAAGAGTTCCGGAGGCGGCGAACATTATAGTGGTGTCCAAATCACCAATTATTCCGCTTACAGTTGAGGCCGCGTTAATACAGGCCTGAGTTCCACGAGAGCCGGCCTGAAGTGCCGCCAAAACATACGATACCTTTTCCGACACAACCTTTGCGTTGTCTGTTAACTCTCGTTGGCTATAATTATCGCCTGGATTTGCCTGACACTGACCCGCGCTTTTGGTTATGTCAACACAAGCTGTTCCCAGTTCTTGGACACTGCCTTTGATGCGATTTGCGATCTATAAGTGAACCATTTATTCATTAAAACCGTTCCCTTTCAACACCAACGAAATCAACTGACCTCTACATTACTCGTCGCACCGATCACTCCATTCACATCATTGGCTAAATTTGCGTAATTATGGGATAGATTTGCTGCTAAAGGACCCAAATGGGCGACTTGTGTCGTCGACTTCCCAACCTTTTTGAATCAAATATGAATGACAATAGGATTGAAGGATCAAATAGTGATGCATACCATGTCCTGTGCTATTCTGGCAATTTCTTTGGCAGTGTTAACCATTCGTGTTTGATAGTCAACATATGTAGAACCCGATGGCAATGAAGATGTGGTTGAATATGAATAATGTCTTTCATCTATTTTGGTGATCGATTTGGTGATGGACTCAATAATACCGGTCACTTGTCCCGCTTCAGTGGCCGCCGACTCCAGCGTATGTAACAAGTCTTGGAGCGCTTCCTTCATGGACTCACTCGACTCGTCGATCTCTGCGTGAACTGAAGAGGCCTTCGAGTTTCCGCCGCACTCTTTCACCGAATAGACCAATTGAAGGGCGCATTCAGTGATAGTCTTCGTTTGGTCCAAATAATTCATTTGTTGCTTCGAGTTCTGTGTCTTCGACGCGCATCCGATGGCGTTCTGAACCAATGGATCGAAATATGAGACCAATTGAGTGACAGAATGACCCAATTTCTCGGCCTCCGCTTTGCCGGACATACGGACGGCATCGATGTGTTCGTAGATCTCTGTGGCCGAAGCGCTGGTCGCTTCCCGGAAGCCCTTCAGTGTATTGTCTTGACGTGACTCTAAGTTTTGACTAATAATATTGAGCGACGACTGATCCAACTCTCGGATACAAGCGCTCAGTTTCTCGACGGCGTCGTCGCACTCGCGCTGTCCCGGAGACGCGTCTTTGATAGATGTGACCAACTTTTTGATGGAATCGCTCACATTCTTGCTGTGATTGGCCAGTGTTTGCCAACCGGGAGGGTCTTTAGGGTTGAGCGCCAGTGATTTGGCGGCAATAATCATATTACAAGAGGCATCGATGATAGACTTGCCGTACGATGTGATCGGTTCCTGCGCTGAACGCGCCTTAACACTGATTTTGGCGGGAATTGGCGCGAAGTCTGGCGAACTCGCGAAGACAGTCAAGTTGTCGACCGCATCGAGCAGTGGTTTCGTCGCTTCGGCGCAGTTCTGGTGGTTGTAATCGGAGTCCGGGTTCTGGTCTAAAGCCTTGATCTCTTTGATGAGACTCGCCGTCGCATTCGCCACATCTTTGGCCGACTGAACGAAATGTCTTTTCGCCACCGGATTTGTAGTCTTGGAAGACGCGACGCGACACGAGTTGCATAACGCAGACGTGTGTTTGGCTATGACTGTGGCCGCCGACAGGATCTCTGTCTTATTGCTGGTTCGAGTGGACAACTGATGACACGCCGACTGAATGGCTTCGTTGGCCTTATGGAAGGCATTCAAGTCGACCAGACCTGCCCTTCCGGACACACTCGACGGGTCCGAAGAGCCGACCAGATATGCCGACTGCGCCGCGCCTTCCAGTAGACCGCAGATGGAATCCGAGGCCTCTTTCACCGAATGGCCGAACTCTTTGTGTTCATTCTTTTTGGCGTTGTTTGCGATACCAGTCATCGCGTCTCCGAGTCGTCGACTCTTTTCGGTGACGGTTTCCAGACATTCAAAATAAGTCAAATCATTGATGGGTTCGCTCGGGTTGTCGAGCAATGAGCGCATCATTTGGATGTTCCTAATGGCAGAATCGCACTCTTTCTGTCCCGGAGCTGAAGAACTGCAGACATTCAGCAAATTGTTGATACTTTCGGTGACAGAACGCGCCGAAGAGCCCAATAGATTCCTAGCGTTCGGTGCGTTCGGATCGACGGACACTGATTTGGCAGAGACTAAGAGTTTGCTCGAAGTCATGGACAGTGTCTTCAGACTCGACAACATTTGAGAGCGAATCTCATAGTCTTTGGTCTGACCCGCGATCTCAAGACCGCAATCAAAGAGTTGACTGAAAGCAGAACTGAATTGTTTGGAAGAGTTGGCCAAAACACTCGGACTTCGGGAGCCGTCGATCACATCAGAGGCCGATTCGTTGAGTTTCGTGGCAGCGATTGTCAGATTGTTCTGCAATTCTGCGTACGTTTTGTAAGAAACGGGCAGTTCTTTGGCCAACAGTTGTGTCGCTTCTGTTATGCATCGAATGGATTCGTCGACATCTTTCTGTCCCGGAAGACAATTAACGCAATTGTTGAGCGAATTGGACACACTTTTGGCCACTTGTGTGAGTCGTTGCTGTCGTTCCCTGTCGTGTGGGTTATGAAGAGCCCATTTTGTCTCTTCAAACAACACAATCGACTTCTCCAACACATCCCTCGCGTTGTCGATGACTCGCATCTGAACGTCGCGTTCGTTAGAAGTGGCGGCGACTCCGCGGACAGCACTCGTCAGGTTCTTGAGGGCGTTGGACACGTCCCGTCCCGCGTGTCCCGTGAAGTTCTCGTTGCCCTGAGAGGCGGCCGTCAAGAGCTGTGCCATCGAAGAGCCCACAGATTTACACGTCGTGTTCAATGCGGACGAACAGTACTCCAGGTTTTCGCCCGGAAGTGGTTTCAGGTAGTAATTTATGGCCGCTTTCCGGCATTCGGCCAACTCTTTGTCCAATTCTCGGATCGACTCAATCGCGGCGTCGAATTCCATGGAAGAACTGCACGCCTCCTGAGCTTTGGACACATTTAGTTGCAATTCTCGCAGCGATTCCGCCAACTGTTGCGACGATTGCGTCAACTGAATGGTCGACGACTGGTCGGTGACCGTCGGGATCACACTCTTGGAGGTCAACACCAGTCTCTGCGCGGGTGTTATGAATAGATCGCAAGCGTTGATCAGTTGTAACTGTTTGCTAGAGTTGTCCGGATCTGATTGCGTGCCTCGGATTCCCTGCACTACTTTGGGGATCAGATCGGAGACATCTCTGCACACCTGCAAGAGCTCGTCCTGAGTCATCTCATTAGTATTATAGGGTCCGCAGCCGTGAGCGGCCGCTATGTTCTGAGTGGCCATCGCTGTCGCGTGTTTGGCGCTCGACTCCAGTCGTGTCATGACTTTGCGTTTCAACGCATTACTCGCCGCAGTGTTTGTGGCGTTTCGCAGGTCTTCGGCCGCCCTCTTGAGCGCCGCCTGAGAGTCCGAGTCGTGCGGATTCGTTGCGCACCCTTTGGCCGCTTCGACTAGTCGTGAGGTCGCGTCGGCCAACACTTTGGCCGCCGAAAGCAATCGCTTCTGGAGGTCGGAGTCGGGCTGAGTCTCGGCCTGACCTTTGATATTGTGGATGAGCTGAGCCGTCGCCTGCGCCAGGATTTTGGCCTGTCTTACCATTTCGGTCGCGTCACCCGTACTGCTGAACAGGCGGTCCGTCGCGTCCAGAATAGTGTCGACAGCGCCGTCGTGTTCTGTCCCGCGACGACCCCTATTGTCGCTCAGACTTCTCACGTGATTCAACAGATTGTTGAGCGCTTGAGTCACGTCCGCCGCCGCGCCCTTCAGGTCACCCGTGAGTCGAGTGTCGGAACACGAGTCCTGACAAACCCTCACAATGTTTTCCACAGATTTGGCCACTTCTTTGACCGCTTCGATCATCTGTTGCTGACAATTGGGGTTAGAAATAGTGGGCGCAACCACTTTAGCGCACGCGACCAGTTGTGAAGTCGCTAACGCGCATTGAGTCGCGCAACTGATCACTCGGTTTTGCGCCGTCTGGTCGTCACAACGCGACGCCACGTCTTTGGCCTTCAGCACCAGATGCGCGGCCGCATTGGCCACTGGTTTCGAGAGACTGAGCAGCAGATCAGCCGCTTCTCTGTCGTACTCGTCCTCTTCGCCGATAGTGTAGAGCAAATTAGTGGTCGCTTCGCCCACTTTGGACGCCGCGTTCAGTAGGCTCTGTCTCCCGGCCTTCTTCGCCGGTTCGGCCGCTTTCAACAGTTCCGAGAAAGCGCTGCACAGGTTTCGCGCGGCGTCTATGAGTCGCTCTCCTTTGTCGTCGTCTTCCATCAGCGCTGCGATCACTTTGACGTCGCGCGACATCTCCGGTAAGTTAGTGCTGATGGTATGAATGGCTGCCCCGAGCGCCGGGTGATCGAGTTCTTCCTCGGGAACCGACGTCAAAGTGATCACTTGAGCCGTCGCCGCATTCAGTGCCGCCATTTGTGACGAAACCGTCTCTTTCTTGACGTCCAACTGATTCTGTTTCCATCCAAAGTCTGGTCCGTATTCCGGGATTTTGGCCTTCGTTTCCAACTCTTTGAGCGCCTTTTGGACGGCGTCCTGACCCACGCCTATAGTCGAGTGCAGAGCTCTTTGAGGCTCAGAGAGACCCGTTTGCAGGTATTTGGGGTGTTGTGCGGCCATCAGAGGTGACTGTTGTACCGGCGCTTGACTTTGCATTGTAGTCAACTGCTGTTCAGGCATTTCCTTAATGTTGATACTCTGCGGGCCATTAGTTCCGGGCCTTATAATGCCAGGAATGGCCAGATCTTCAATGATAGGTTTGGATGGTTTCTGTCCGGGTTGGTGCTGAAGAATGGTCGCCTTCGATGGCGATATGCTGTCCTCAACCATAGTGGAGCCCTCATCGCCTTCGATGCCGAAGTGATCCTTCGCTTTCTTTCGCCTCAGAATTATATCGATATATCCGGCGATCAGTTGTGATATCTGTTCGCCTTCTGTGGTCTGAACCGAATAATAAGAGTCAGAATAGTCGCCGAAATCTAAGGTAAAACTATTGGGAGAAGCGGCCCATCGCTTGACTGTAGTCAAAGGCCACGTTTTCATTATCTCTTTAGTCTTCTCATCCAAACGAAGAACACTGTCTTTAGTGACTCCGAGGAGTCGCGGAACCAATTTGTTCTTTCCCTTCATTTTCTCCTTAACTAAGAAGAAAGTGACGCCATATGTGCTGAGAGAGCGGGCGAGCCCTACATACTTGACCTTCGCCTCCAACTCAGACTCTCCGATATGTTGTCTGTGTTGAGACAATACCTTCTTCTCAATCGCTTTATCCCTTCGCGAGTAATCTCTGGGAAGAAACTCTTTGAGGTCCAGAAATCCGGGCTTATGTTTGCTTTCGACATAATCTCCGAATTGGATTTGACACTGAATGCCGGCGAACTGACACGACTCCTCCAAAGTGACCGGATGTGTGCCCGCAATGATCGCATCCCTCGCCTGAACGTACAGTAGGTTCAGTTGGACGGGATCTCTAGAGTCGATGTTCTGATCGGAAAAGAAAAACTTTCGCCGCAACAGAAGTGTCTCCTCCTCATCGATGCCCTGTTCTCGCAGTGTCTTTGAGACGTCCACCCAATTCAGGTCGTCGTCTGTCTTGAGTTTTTTCTTCAATTGTTCCATTTTAGAGTCCAATGTCTTGTCTTTTTCAAGAGTTCGTGTTTTATCTTTTCTCCTTAGAGTGAGTGTTCCGTCCCTGGAAAGGGTCGCATCCCTCAGCTCTTCGGGGAAGTCCCTCACAAGTGAGTACTCGTCGTGATTTGTGATGCCTTTTGTTTCAAAATAATTTAATACAATTAAATCAAAACTAATTGAATAAAAAAACCATAAATAATGCGAAATGAGTGCCGGAATAAGTGATACCTATTTTAGTGCAAATAACGACCATTAGGTTAGAGACGGGTTGACTGTCGTCGACTAAAACCGTTTTGACAGATCCGTCGAGCATTCTAACCCTCAAAGTTCTCATTTTTCTTCTATATTCCAGTAAATCCTACGACAAATAAATTTATTAATTTAATTGAGTTAATGGACTCAACATTGAGGGGAAGTAATACATCGATATAGAGAGGACATCCCATCATCCCATCCCATCCCTACTCTAACTATATATTAATGTTTTGCGCATTCTTTCAGCAATAATAGCGAAAATCAATAGTTTTGATAACTTTGAGCCAATAGGGGATCAGTTATCTCATATCGTACAACAGAATCACTTTATTTGATTGATTTCTAATGTCTTAAACAAAAATTTTATGCGATTTTCATCTGAATTAATAACATTTATTTCTCAAACTCGCAATTAATCACAATTTTATTGTTTAGATATAAGTCATTAATACATAGCATATATAGTTTGATAAGTTGAATATAAGACAAATTCATTACTCACCCCATTTCTAAGCAGATAGTATTCAAGACTACGCGCGGGTTCTAACCAAACGCCTTTCTTCGGGTCCTCATCCGTTAGGAAGAGTCCGTAGTCTTTGGCTGTAATCATAATCAATGGCAACCAATGAAAGGAATTGCAATTTTAATGGCAAAGTAAGGGATAGTAAAGGATAGGAGTAATGCATACGCTGTCCAATATTTGCTTCAGTGATCTTCTCTTTGATGAGACGACAGGCATCGTAGACCATAAGCGAGGGCTCGAATTGCATTGTCTTCACCACATTCTTGTCGGCGACACTGATCTTCAGTGAAAGTGTTGCCATTTTTGAACAGTCGTCTCTCAATCTCTATTCTGTGATTAAATGGATTCATAAATCACTAAATGAATCAAATCAATAAAACTACTTTGTATTGAGTTATAGTTAAGGGTTATTGAGTTCCCGACATATCTCTACTCATAATAAACAAAAAAACCATTGGTTTTATTGTTTGCAGAGATAGTGTCCATTCAGTTGTCATTTTATTGCCGTTTGTTTAGCAAACTTTCACTGTCTGTCCGTTTACTCATACATTGAGAGTTATATTACTCTTCGATGCATTATTTTATAACTTTTATAATAAATTTGATTTATTTTTCCTCCTCTTGTCTCTCCTCTCCCTATCGTATAATTTAATCAAAACAAACGCCGCTTTCATAGGGATAACTGTGCGCTCGTGTAATGTTATGTATTGTAACTTTTGGCTATGAATTGGATAAAGGAATCGGTGTTTCAAATGATCCGAACGGTTGTTCCCCCTCTTCTTCACTTCACATCTCAACACAATTAGCACTTCATTTAATTCACTGCTCTTTTGTTAACAGCATTTAAAGTGATTCATTAGTATTGATATAAAATTAAATGTATTTTAATTTTTTTAAATTCAATTTTGACGGAAAGGGAACAGATTTGACATCTTTTGTGAACTTAATTAAGAACTTTATATTCATCTGAAATACTTGTATAATATAGAGAGTGATATAAATGACACAAAATAGAGGGTTAATAATAATTACATCTAAATTAAATCCTTAGATATTTGGCTCTAAATAAAGCATACGATAAAACATATGATAAAACAATTATGTAATTGAGATATAGTTTATGTAATAAATTTGGATATTTTTAAAATTGAAAATTTAATATAAAGTTAATGTGTATAACTATAAAAGAAGTGGCGATTTTGGTGGTAATAATTGGGCCCAAAAAGTGATGTCTTCGAGATAGCGTGGGATTCATTTCCTATTATAGAACCTAAACCTCAAAGCCTTATACAGAATACAAGCGAAAAAGCCTTCAACTGTTTGTTTGTCAATCGATGCAAAGTATGGCTAAACAAATGCTATCAAACTTTGGATTTGCGGCTAAACCGCCGAAAACCCGCAAACCATTGGACATCACATTCAACACACTTTCATAAAGTTTCGTGATTTTAATTTTTGTGTTTTTAAAAACACATATTTGTCAGTAAATTATGGTTTTTGGCGGATTTCCTATTGAAAGTTACGGTACACTCGTATTACACACTCGTTTCGTAGTCAACATTCACTTCACTATCATTTCAATGCACTTCTTCTATGGCTTACGTTATCCGACAAACAGATTATCTGTCGTTACTATCAATACATTACATATTATTGTTATTTCATTCATTTATATATTGCTATTTATATTCAAATCAATACAACTAACTATAATTATAACCAAATTTAGTAAACAATTACAAAATACATCTAAAAGTTGAGCTATTTTTGTATATTTCAGTTATTTTTAACTCAAAACCAAATTAATGTCCAAAACTACGAGAAAAATATATGGTTTGATAATTAAAGGTATATTTGACTGAATAGACAAGAAATAATTTGATTTGATTGACATATCTATAGTGTAAACCCCGTTATTGCAAACAGATTTGACATCACTTTCGTCACACTCTATACACACCAAAAGTTACTTTATTTTGGTTTACATTTGGCCCACAATTTCATCAGTTATTTAAGTTATGGAAAGAAAAAGTTTTTCAATAGATATATAAGTATCGAAAAGTCAGACCTTTTAAGCCGATCGGAGATTAGCCGACGATTAATAAATAGTTGTATAAATTGTTTTCAATATATGTTTGATTGTTGTTATGATTGAATCCCAATGTCAGCAATGGATTGAGTGATGGTTTGAATGCGAGCACAGGCTGTGAGAAGAGCACTGGTATTGCCTTTAATATTGGCTTTGCTTCACAACTAATTGCTCTCAAATGTATACATGGCTTGCGTTTTGCGGGCACTGAGACTCAGAGCCTGATATGCATATACTCTGTGCAGTGAGTGCTGTGTTGTGTAGACATTGCCATACAGTTAGCGATAACTTGAGAGCACTTGAGTTGCGATAACTCAGAGATGTAGTGGGAGTTGTGTTAAGCGCTGTTTGTTGGCGATCACTCCCAGTCGGAAGGCTTACCCCAAACCTACCCCAAGCCTACCCCAAGCCTACCCCCGGCAAACTTGAACTCAGGTCCCATACAGTGGGTCGACACAGAGTTTGCCATACATTACACCACTGCCATCGAGAACGCAGATCTATCTGAGTCTTAAGTCTCACTATCACTTGTGTCACTCCCTAAACATTGATCTAAGAATACGGAGATTAAGACAAAATCGCTTCCGAGTTATGGTCTGAAGTAACCCGTAGTCTATGGTATTGTCCTTATGTGAGGGTTTAGGATATATGGACTGAAAGGGCCGGTGGAAAGACCTGATGGAAATATTGGTGTTTTGGGATGAGTGGTGGTGTTTGGGAAGCAAAGCCAAGCATAAGCCTAAACCTGACACCAACTCATTCATTGAGAGTATGTTATGCGAAAAACGGGACAAACCTTATATAGACATGAGGTTTGACTCTTTGGCACAAACAATCATTTCGACACACATTTGGATTTCCATTCATTCACTCTTTTTGTCCCAATTCTTATCTCAATGTCTTCACTCAATTTTACCACTCTTTTGATTAACAGTCCATTCATTAAAATCTTGAATTATTTTAAAGTTTCCGGTAATTCATATTCAATACTAACTTAATTTCAGACAATTAACCAAAATTCTAGCCAAAGGTTTATGTATTGAACGAGAAAATAGTTTTACATTTCTCTTAATTATATTAAGTGATCCATAGATTGTATGGACTCTTAAAACATACTATTATTCACATTCAATGGACAGAATAGTTATGACAGCAATACATGCTTTCAATGACATCACTGAATACAATTCTCTTTTATTTTATCACAAATGTATTAATGCATAAATCTCTCTCTCTCTCTCTCTCTCTCTCTCTCTCTCTCTCTTTCTATGGATCACTTAATATAATTAAGAGAAATGTAAAACTATTTTCTCGTTCAATACATAAACCTTTGGCTAGAAGAGAGAGAGAGAGAGAGAGAGAGTATATACTCACTCTCCCTATGTTCTCGTCCCTCTCATAAAGTCTGAAAAGTTTGAGTAGTTTGGGTTAGGATAGTAGCAGCGCATCACTATTTGTGATCCAATGGTTGTGTGGCTAGAAGAGAGAGAGAGAGAGAGAGAGAGAGAGAGAGAGAGAGAGCTGAATGCCTTCCCATCGCTGTGTCTCTTCTGCACAGTTAGTGTATTTTGTCTGCATTTCTCTCTACCATTCATTCACTCATAAGACATAACATTTCCGGACAATACATATTGTGAACGACTGTAAATCATAGAGTGATGGAGGGATGGAAGGGAACGAAGGGAATGGGATGTTGTGCTTATAAAGGGAGAGAGGGATGCGTTTGGGGTCGGCGTTGAACTAAAGGACGCAGTGATGCACACATTGGCCAACAACTCAAAGATGTCGAGCAAAGCATTAGTTCTTTTATAAAATGCCAGAATTGGGGGGAAAATACAAGTGCTGTCGATATACAGTATAGAGTGAAGTGAGGAGAAGAATATATGCAAAAATATTGGGCCCACTGTTTGGCACTGTTGGTAGTGATGGCACGGGTTGTGCATCCACTGAATGAGGAGGCAATGAGTGAACGCTGATATTAATGTAACTTTTCCTGCAGTGACTCAATGGTAGGAACCGATGAATCTTAACTACTGTCACATCGTTTTGTCAATTGAACCGAAAAATGTGTTTTTAGAGATAATTCCAGATTTGTTTCAATTAGTTTCCATTCAATAGAGCTGTTGATGTAATTTATTTATAAAAATTTTCATTTCTCCTCAAAATTAAATCATTAATACTATTAGTGAAGGACAGGAGTAGTGGAAGAGTAATGGAAACAATAGCGCAGAAAGAGTCTGAACAGAGAGAACAAGTGCTAGACTGCAGACTCTTCTTGACTCGTGTCTAAACTTCGAGGCATTCATTTGTCACGTCCGACAGTATTTAAAACGAAACCATTCCTCAGGATTGCATTGATTTCCATTATATTGTATTTTATTCTGCAGTGGATATCGTTATCCGATTGCAAACATCTCAGAGTGAGAGCACTGAAGATATACTGCAGTAATGTTTGAGGGCATGAATTGATCGGCTATAAGGCGCCAACACTTACCGAATTAAAACGAGATCTCGACCGACTGGCGCCTACATCGCTGTAGTCATAGCAACCCTTCAAGACTTGACTCAAAGCAAAGACTGCATCAATAGATGCTGTTATACTGTTTTACAAACTTTTGTTGAATTCATGATAAATGTTCAGAAGTGAAGAAGTGGTGCACTTTCTTCATTCAATTGATCGCAAGACATCACTTCAAACACATCTATAAAAACCACTCTTTTAGTTGAGGAGACAAACACTGCACTCAATATAACTATACGACGACTCTTTGCTTACTGTCGAGAAAACAAGAATTATATCAAAATGAATGTCAAGCAGAAAAGATCTCAACTAAAAATACGAGACACTAATAAATAATAACAAACAAATTAAATGCCATTAAGAGGACCAACCATTTCATTGAATTTCATTACTTTATTGATTTTAAAAATATGTTATTTTATAACAAAAGTTTTATAAAAATAAATCTCCAAATAAATCGCGTAATCATTTTATCCTCAATTTGAGAACATATACTGTTTTTTTGTCATTTAATTATTGAGAAGTTGTCGTAACATATAATGAAGAATTCCTCCATTCCTGTAGTATTCGAGTTCTACTTCAGTATCGAAACGCATAATCGCCTCAAAACACTTGCCGTTATCGAGCTATCAATACAATCATTATTGTGTTAAATAACAAACATTTCCAATAAACTTAATTTCTCTCTTACTTTAATTGTAGTCTTATGTCGAGTCGACATATTCTCTGGGATATCAATGCTATAAATCTCTTTACCAGTCAATGATAACGATTCGGCATTTTGTCCGCACATGAACTCCAATGGGATTATACCCATACCAATCAAATTGCTATTGTTTTAAACAATATGTCACATAATTTACAGTTATTTTATATACAATTATAACAAACCTTCGGTGAATTCGTTCATAACTTTCTGCAATAACGGCTCGAACTCCGAGAAGATACGGTCCTTTTGCCGCCCAATCTCTCGATGATCCGCAGCCGTAGTCTTTGCCGCTAAGAATAATAAGTGGAGTTCCCTCTCGTCTGTACACTTCGGATGCATCGAAGATACTTAACTGCAATTCATAATCACATTATTGTAGCCTAACTTTTCATATAATCAACTCCACATTCATATGTATTCAATTATTGCTACATTCATAATTCATGAATATTGTTTAAAACTTGATAACTATTATTGTTTCCATTAAATGCCTATAATAGTTGGCATAAATCTCACAGCTTTTGTAAATCCAAACAATGAGTGTATTTCAAGTGATATTCAAATTAATTCTCCAATGATTCAGATGGTAACGAGTCTCACACATAAGAACTATTTTAGCGTAAAATTTATATGTACTGTATGTTTGCTGATTTAGTTAGCATTTGCAGCATTTTAGTAAATTTTATTTTAACTATAATTAAAACATAGATTCTTAGGTTACAAAAACCACTCTTAAGTTACACGAAGTTATTAAAAATTAATAACTAAATTTTATAAAAGAAATTCCTTATTATTAGATGATAGTAGTATACTTATCCATATAGACTGAACAAATTTGCATATTTTAACTGGATTTAGCCGCAGGGTGAGCGCGGCCAGCAATTAAGTGGCCAAGATCGGTAAATCTTGCCCTCTTAATTGTGCATGCGCATGTAAGATGATAATTGCTGCCACCAAGAGCAATATGGCGACCGCACATATCATCTAGATGATATAAGCCGGGAGACATGTATGTGAAGGTTAAATGTAATGTATAAATCATGATTGATATATTGTATAAAATACTGTATAATACTGTATAAATCAGATAAATATGTAATTAAATAGTGAGATAAATTTTTATATAAATTGTATAAAATTAGCTTAAATATTAATTATATGATTTAAAAAACAAAAATCTCTCGCTTTATATACTAAACATTGAGCCCTTGAAAGGTGTACAAACAAAACACACTGTTCTTAAGCCGTTTGAAGCGATGAAAGACCAGTGGATTTGGTGGCGATCCTTGAGATGCGATTCACCCTATGGTTAAGCGCAACACTCATTGAATTAAAAAACACACAAATTATTGTTTATTTTTAAATGTATTAAATAATGTGTAAAATGGAAGGTAAGCGAAAATTGCTTACATTATTGACTTTGAATTTTTTAGAGGCCACACCCGTGCGGGTACTCATAGCTTATGGTAGAGCCTGTATAACAAGCACTGGTTAAGGCAGGTGTTAAGACTTGCAACACAATTACAAGCCTTAGGTGTCTGCCAAAAACCAGCTATAATGTACAGATTATTAATATATACAGTGTATAAACAATTAATACATTTGTACACTAACTGTAAAATAATGTATTTTCAAGTTTACACAATCGAGTGGTTAAATAAATTCAAAGAAAACAATTCAAATAATTAATAAACTTTAATATTAATATAGATTAACGTTTAGTAATTAAATCAATTGACTGGCGATTTTAAAATATGTTTGAAATATTGATCAATAAATATATAGCTTTAAGTGTGATTGTAAACGTGTTTTGTATGTTATATTACAATCACGGCTAAACCCCCGGCCCCCAAACACAACTATTCGTCCATTCAATGTGATATTATTCACTATACGTGGTGTTAATTATAATGGTTATAACAAAACAAAACATTGATATTAATTAAATGCTGTTTATTAGTGAATAAATTAATCTGTGTAAATATTATAATAAGAGATACACGTGTAATTCGTGTTATAGCACTAACTTTATGGTATGCATTGATAGCAGCTGTTATTGTCGGGCCGACTATTACTACAAATACAGTACGTCTATGTCTGACGTCCGGCCAAATACATGCGATCGACTGCCGGACCTCATACTGTGCCCAACGATTACGAGTCAGATATACAGTTGACCATGAATAATCATAAACACCTAGATGAAATGCTGTGTGATTAATGTGGCAACGTGATTTTCTGATAATTATTTTTGAGTTTTATACTATTTTTATTGTATTTTTATAATTGTTTGTAATATATTATATTATATATAAATAAATGTGTATTTAAAACACTGTTATTATTATTATTATATAAAAAATAAATTTTTTGAAACATTTTAATTAAGTATTTATTTAGTTCATTCATATAAATCTGCTGATCTATTATCTCGTTGTAATTTTAATATTTAACTGTTTAATTAACATTAAAAACAATTAGTACAACAATTATATGATAGAAAGCCTATTATTAAATACGAAAAAATTAAGTTACGTAAAAATAAAATAAGATAAAATTTATTTACGTTATACAGTATATGAGATTAAATGATTGTAAGAATAATATGTAATACCATATATATACAAAATTATAATTTTTTTGTGTGTCGGTCTGGGAAAAACGGCTACAATAAAATATTTATCTATCAACTTATCGGGAATTGTTTGATAAAATAGATTAGTTGACAATATAAAAATAATTTAAACAATAAATTTACGAAAAAAGTAATTTCGTATTAATTAATAACATAGATCATAAATAACAAAGCTATTTATCTGTAGCCGTAAAAAAACCCAAACAGTCAACAAATATTGATTTTAGATAATATAAATCGAAAATTAATTAAAACTATTACAATTAATAATAATGTAAATAAAAACAATGTATAAAACAATTAATTAATATATTTGCGCAGATTTGTGCCGCCCGCCCGCACCGCACGCACTTGCCGTTGACTCTCAATAGTTGGATAGTATTGACTGAATTGCGTGCAACGGATCCCAACTTTATCTCATTATTCTTCGGCCAAAACAAGACAATCGCGTAAACAGTTTTATCTTTCGATGTAAACCTATTATAACAACATTTTTGAATTAAAATCACATATAAATCAATAAAAGGTTTTTGAAAGTGAATATAAATACCAAATATCTTTAGTTAAGGTATCGCTTTGATAAGTCCAGGGATGGCTACTATATATGGCCTCTCCGTTGACGTTAAGCCAATCACCCAATTGTCTCAATCACTCCTCAAATATCGGGGTAATTGTGCCCTCTCTTGTGGGGTCAATATTGAACATCATATGACACCCGCAACTAGATTTATATTAAATAACATTAGTTACAACTGTATATTCAATAAACCATCAATAGCCTGTACCTGATAGCCATGACCAATTGCCGTAGCATTTCCAACGGTGTTAAAATATTCCATAAATTAATATTACGTGTATAACCCCACGAACTTTTTCTTATAGTGTCAATGTGTTCCCGCTTATGGGACACTAATACACCGGGATTAAAGTTATCGGTAAAGTTATAGAAACTACCGTGGTGACCATTCGAGCCCTCTCCTATCAATGACAAATTAACATTTATTATTATGATTTAAATTTTATATTAAATCTCTTACCCCATCCGTCATTGACAACAACATTGTTTTTAACGAAACTAATGTATACAAAAATTTAAGTAAAATGTTATAGTTAAAATGATAATTATAATAGATGATTTACCTATCATATAAAAGCCAGTCGAAAAACTCTTCGTTTGTCTTGTACTTGGGATCTCCGCCTCCGTTGCCGTCCGACCAGATTATGTCCGGTTTATAATTGTTGACCAATTCACACAATTCGGGCAGTGTTTTATTCTACATGTTATTAATAATTAATTTAATTAATGTAAATATTGTTTATTTATGTCATACAGCTCGAATGCCAACGTCACCGATTGCGGGAAAGCCAACGTCAAGCGCAGGGTGTTTAAAAATAATATGTATAAACACAACATAAAAAATTTAATATAAATATAGACAAGATTTGGATGCGTTTTGGATGCATTATTCACAGAAAAAGTAATTCTTTTGTGCGAAATAAAAATAAAATTGAATTGATTTTCTTAACTCTAATACACAATGTATTCTACAACAGTAGCTTAATTTTAATGATTAAAGTTGTGTTCAAAGCTTGAATTAAACATTACTTGTATATAAAGTTATTTTTTCTGTGATTAACGCCTTTAAAACGCATCCAAATCTTGTGCTTAAATATAATATACAGATCTTGACTACCAAAAGTATCGTCGGCATTATTGGATTTAAAATTAACTGGATGATTATATTTCAAATCTGACTTCAGCATGTTGAAGCCAGATAATGTACAAATTTTTTGAGGTACATAAAGTTATAGTTACTAATCTTGGTATATTTTAAAAAAATAATGTTTCTACGGACGAATATTTCCATAAAAAACAATGGTAATTTTAACTAAAAAAGTCTGTATTTCAAAAACTAAGAGTCCTAGCTTAATTCTGTTTTCACCATTCGAACCAGCGTTAAAAATAGCGTCGAAATTCGTATTGGCATATTGTTAAGTATCTATGTTAAAAAATCAATATTATAACAAAATATTTATTCAGAACTATAGGGTATATTTAATTAATAATTTGAGAAATGGTAATATACGTGTCGACTTATTTTTAACGTTGTTTCGAATGGTGAAGACAGAATTAAGCTAGGACTTTTAGTTTTTGTTGTGCAGATAATGCTTATTTATAAATTATATCATTGAGCTAGGACAAAATTATTTTGTTTTTATATGCAGACTATTGTTCTATATTTGTGTATAAAATTATATTATATTTGCTTTATTAGTTAGGGAATTAATGTACCTCAAAAAATGTGTACATTATCTAACTTCTAAATGCTGAAGTCAGATTTGAAATATAATCATCCAGTTAATTTTAAATCCAATAATGCCGACGTTACTTTTGATTGTCAGGATCTGTATATGTAATATAATATACAAATCCATTCCTCTTGTATTTACTCAAACAGACCAAAAAGTGCACACAAATACAACAGTAAAATACAATATAGAGGTGGGAGGGGTTTGACAACTATAAACTATGGTGAATAAAATCTTAAATATTCGTCATAAAATAATCGATATCTGAATTTTGCTTTAATTAACGTCATATACCTACACTTAAAACAATGTATTGAAATACAATTTTTAAAATAAATGGCATTTAAATTATTTGAATTGCAAAATACTGAATGTTGACTTATTTTTGAATTTATCTCTTCTATTATTGAATTTACTTTCAATTTAGTGTTAAACAAACATTGACAATGCCAACAGCTAAATTCATTATTAGATGTTAAAACTAACGGGCGATCAAAACACAAAAGACAAGGTAATTTATAATTGTTAACGCAATTGATTAATATTCGTCTTTTTACAGGCATATATTTCCGCCATTTCCAGACCTTTTGTACCATAATAAGTTTATTGTAATTCTTATTTTCTGATGGCATTTTGCTTAGTACAGTCGAAAATGGATATAATATACACATGAAATTTTCGAATTATAATGAATACAAAAATGTTGATTATAACGATACTAGTTTAACATTATATGAATGGCAAATGACTTATGATTTCAAAATATGGGGATTGTAATGATTTGTTGATACTATTGAGTGTATATACTATCCATTCTAGACTGTATATCTAGCGGTGAAACAACTTTTGTGAACCGGGTCATTTTTTCCATTTTG